ATGGAAATACACTGTGATTGGTAGACAGGACCTATGCCTTCCTTACAGCTTTATTCTTATGGTATTTGCATTTAGTAAGGATTGATTGATTTTTGTTAGTGCTAGTTTTTGTGATCCAGTATTTTTTTTTTACATGTGCATTGCATTTTGATGAATCTTTTAGACATGTTTTTTTATAAGGTAAAGGAACGGATATCAAGTATGGATTAGACTAGTGTATTCGGTTTCCAAGTGATCGCAATTTCGTCAAAATTTTTGGACGAATATGGACATATCGCAAAACAAAAGAAACAGACAATGGGTGGGCTGTTTTGCTTGTTTTGTAATTCAAAGTTTTATATGCGGTGCCAGAAAAAGGAGGAGAGAATGGAGAAGAGGTAGATTTTTATCTGGGGCAAATAGCAGCATAGTTTTGCTTGATTTAGACTGTATTTCCTGTCCAATCAAGACGTGGAAAAAAGATGATAGATTGAAAAAAGATGATTGATGGTTTGGGGACAGCCGCTAAATGTTAATTCTATTTAAAAATCAAGTGAGAAGTGATCAACAGAGGGAAAAGAAGCAGGAACAGTTAAAACTATTTATATATATTTACAATTACTGTGACTGTGTGGGAGTGTGAAATAGTCTGTGTCATGGATCCTAGTGAGAGATCAGTAAGGCAGTCAGGTTACTGCTGTGCCTAGCCACTGCTAGTGCCATTTAGACAAACTTAGAAATACTGATTTAGAATTTTTTATTGTGCAGTGTGCTTCAGTGCCACTGCTTGTGCATTACAAATTGTAACAGTGTATGGAAGATCACTGCACAAGTACATACAGCACTGAGTATCGCAGGCCTATTTAGTTTTTTTGTTTTTTTTGTTTAAATCTTTGTAGAAAGAAAATATTTTTTTTCAGAATGTTTATAGTGCAGAGTGCTGAAGCATCATTAGAGTACAAAATTATTGATAACAGCCTGGTTTTATTTATCTTGAGAGATAGTTTGCGTGAGATTCGATTTGCAGTGCTTGTGCTTTGCTAAAAAATGATGGGAAAAAAACAACTTCCTCCTGGTGTTGAATTGGAAATAATATACATGCTGTACATCACACTATACTGAGGCTGAAAACTACTAATAGTGGTTGTGGAGGCAGCGGTGGTGGAGGTATCAGCAGTCCTCATGGCCAATGTGTTAAAATTCTCAGCTGCCATTGCACTAGTGCTGATGGTGGATTGGTGAACAGAATGCCTTTTCCTGCCCTCCCTTAATTCCATTTTGGGATTAGAACGTGACATTGATGATGGTGGGTTTGTTTTTCTTATTAAAATTAATTAGGCCAGTGAATGATTGTATATTGTTTTTAGCAAAAAAATTGATGTTTGTTTTAAAAAATGTGCTTGTGCTTGTTAGATTTACTACTGTATCATTATTGTGTTTGACTTTAAGAAACATGACACAGTGCTCACATATTTGCACAGTCTACACTGGACTAAACACACGGGGAAAGAAAGCAAGAAAACAAGGTTTTCTTTCTACAAACAGTAAACAAAAAAACTCTTAACTTCATATTGGTAAATTTGTATCACACTAGGAACCTTAAAAAGATGCATCACCTACTCAAAGTGATTCCAAATCAATTCAATTGAAATAAAGCTACTAAATATTGATTTTGTTTACAGAAGTGACCAACAGAGGGAAAACAAGGGGAGCAGTCAAAAATCGGTATATTTCCTGTGACGTACTACCCTGTTACTAAGAACTGGTGCAGGACTCTCTGACATCACCTTCCCAAGAAAGAACTATCTTCAACTTATCTGTGCCAACCCTTCCCTACTGTGCCTCCCAGCTCAAAAGCGCGGGATAACTGCTCTAAAACCCTCATGGACCAATGTGAGGCTCTCCCGGGTACAGCATGCCTAACTGGGAGCCACTCGTTTACTTTAAAAAACTGTAACTTGGATCGCAGAAGTGCCACAGTCTAGTCAAATTTCATCAAGGTAGCTCTTGGCTCCAGGACCACCAAATAGGGAGCTATCTGGAAGGGAGATCAGGGAGGCAACAAGGCATCCAATGATACCAAGGACTTAAGTGAGCTCCAGTTGTGTTTTGGGTTAACACTACTTAAATTATCTACTTAAATTGTTCGAGCAGTAGTGTTAATGGCAAGGTATAGCAACCAGTTTTAAAACCCTTTTTAAACTACTATATGCTGTGCAAGTGTGTGAGCACTGTGTGCTGTGTGCGGTGTACAATGTTTTAAAGTCACAGTGCGGTTACAGACATAGTAAATCTGATCCTGCAAAGAGAGGGTCAGAGAGCGGAATGAGTGGCAATGCTGGATCAAATTAATTAATCTGGCTCAGTAGAAACCCGGCCGGATCAGGATGGATTAGCCCCCTCATACTGGGACACAAGCGAGCAACCAATATCCCTGCAAATAACTTTGAATTTTAATTAATAAGTGAGATTGGCCTATTACTTCTTTCCTCTGAAGATCATCCAAGGATCCAGAAATGTTATTTGAGATGGTAGAGTTAATCCTTGAAGAAAGGTAGCTATGCAAGTCAGGTGCAGTCAGAGAGTTAGCTTTGTAAATTATACAGGTTATGATAAAAGTATGAAAGGCCTAAATAATATCCTCCATTAAATGTGAGATCTGCCTTTGAGGAATATTGATTTTGGGGATGAAGGTAGTTTGTCTCCTCTGAAGGAGAGCACGGGCATGTAAACGACTACTTTTATTACCTAAAGCATAAAATTTTCTTTTGGTGAGTAAAAGTGTACGTTTAGACTAGAGGTTGATTAGTATTTGTAGTTCAGACAGTTTAGCTGGGTATATAACTGGTGTATAACTCTAAAACAAATTGTATTCTTGTGAATTGTTCCTAACTTGTGACTCTAAGAAAAGAAGG